AAAGTATTGCACTAGACAAATCTGCTGCACAAGACCTCTTTAAAGTGTTCAAGAGCAAAGGTCTCAGTTTGAGTACTAACATATCTGACCCCAGCCATGTTATTTTCAAATATTTCATATGCATGTGAAAGTTGGATAGTGAATAAGGAAAACCATAGAATTGATGCAAATGAGTTACGGTGTTGAAGAAGAATATTAAAAGTACCATGGAGTTTCAGAAAAACAAACAAATTTGTGTTGGGAGAAGTACAGCCAGAATGTTCCTTAGAAGCTAGGATGGGGAAACTTCATCTCTCATACTTTGGATATGTTATCCAGAGACACCAGTCCCAGGAGAAGAACATCATGCTTGGTAAAGTGGAAGGTCAGCACAAAAAAGGAAGACCCCCAATGAGATGGATTGACACAGTGGCAAACAGCAATGGACTCAAGTGTAACAACCCTTCTAAGGATGATTTAGGATAGGACAGGGTTTGGTTCTGTTATGCACAGAGTCACTATGCATCAGAACCCTCTCAAGGGCCCCTAACATCAACATATTTGTTATGCTTCAACTACTGTTTTAGCTTCAGAATAGGTATCTTCCTTTAAAGATCATCCTATAAATTGTTTACAGATTAATTATTCTAATTCATAATTCTTATCCAAGAAACTCTTTTCCTGTAAATATGTATGACAGGAAAAATCTGATCATATAGGCCAGAATTTCCTGGCTTCCTCATAATTTGTTTATAGCTGACTTGATCTTCTATTATTCTTTCACTCAACTCAATTTTCTGATCAAGGTAGTTTACCTGTTGTTTTCTGAGCAATACTTCCTTTTCTGTGAATTTTCTCATGAAATGTTTCCCTCTGAGATACATACCCTCTCTCAGTTGCCATTTATGTGAATTCCTAGTTTCCATTAGCCTTAGCTTAATTGACTTCCTTCAGGCCTCCACTGCTGGAAAGAAATTCTCAAGGCTGATTTCCATATTCTACATCACACATTTGACACCTCATATTCTTTTTATTGGGGTCCTGCTGTGGTACTGTAGGATAAGCACTGGATTCACCAGCTGCTTCTCTGAAACCCTATACATATTCACTATAAGTTGGAATCAACTCCATGGCACTAAATAATAATAATTTCTCTTATTGAAGTTGGAAATGCTTATCTTGACATTATATTGCAAATGTCTTTATAGTTTGAAAGAGTTTGCAGAACAGACAGTGTACAGAGCACACTGAATATACCTCGAAGTAAATGTCTGTTGGATAATACTATTGGGTGAATGAGAAATGAATTAATGTGAACACATTAAGAATTCTGGTGATGATGATGTTTATGTGCTGTGGAGTTGGTTCTGACTCATAGTGACCCTGCATAGGGTTCTGAGGCTGTAACTCTTTATGGGCACAGAAAGCCTCATCTTTCTTTCTCAGAACAGCTGGTAGTTTTGGACTGCTGACCTTGAGATTAGCAGCCTGACTCGTAACCACTACACTAGCTACACAAATGCCAGCTGAGTCATTGCCTGGCAGATTGGTGAGTTCAAATGTGCAGGTCTTCGAAACAGAGATGAGAATTCAAGAAATGTTTCAGTTTCCAGCAATTTAGTTAATTCCTGGACTAATCAGCATGCTATTTAAATATAGAAACAAATAAAACTTGAAATGGCATGATGGTATTATCTACTGTTGGATCCAAATAAAAGAAGTCCTAACTGTAGAGTACAACTTCAATATCCTAATTAAAAAGCCAAGTATTAAACTTAAATTTATTGCATGTTTGTGTGTGCTTCATTTTTATTGTTGGAGTGAGCAGTTGGCATTTGAGCAGAATGCTTTGATTTATAATAATGAAACTTGATTTCAGTGTACTCACAGACAGTACAATAAACTCAGCAATTTCCTCTTCCTTTCCATAAAGGTAATTTATGGTATGATGAAGAAATTAATATAGATGAGGTTTATTCAGAAGTAGGAGTAATTTAGTTTTCTGCTGAGAATTCATCCCAAGGTCAAACAGATTAAAATTATGACCCTAGTCATTCAGAATACCAAGTACAACTTCAGACTTCTAATTGAGTAGGAGGAACAGAAAAGTGCTCCTATATTCTAATGCCAAACTAACTGTATACTTTGTAACTAGCATCTTTGATTTCAGAAAAACTACATTCCATTGGCTTTAATTCTTAAAATGTGTTTCATCAATCTGGATAACTTTTAATTCTACCTCTTGCCAGATACATGACTTTAGGCAAAATTGTTAATGTCTTTGGATTTCAGCTAACTCACAAGTAATAGGATAATTAATAATAATTAGTTCATCCTGGTTGACAGAGGATTAGGAGACAGAATACTTGGCATAGTGACTAAATTGTAAGAATCAACAAAATAAAAATAATTTTCTTCCTCCTTCTTCAGCCACCCATATCAATAAGGAAAGTCAGAAGCAGACCAATGACATCAAAATTCAAGGAAAAGTATGAATTTGTATTGCACTTTTTCTCTTAGAAAATAAAAGATATTCATAATCCAATTTTAATGATTTGTAAAATTAAGAGAAAAAGTGTGTGTTGTTTTTTTTTTTTTCTGACCGATTCAAGTTTATATAATTAGTAAGGGGTCCAGATAGTAAGTGTCAGATATCTCATAATTCTGAGTGTATATTATAATCAGAAACCAATTCTATATTTAAATATAAGTCTTCATAATTATTTGTGTTTTCAGTATGCATTCTTTAATTCTATCTTGTTGTTATTAGGTATCTGTCCTTGTGTGGTGCTGTGGGTTAATGTGCTGGACTGCAAAGTTGGTTTGGACTTCAACGTGGGTGGTTAAAACTCACCAGCTACTCCTTGGAAACCGTACACAGGGTCACGATGGGTTGGAGCTCACTCCTTGGCACTTAACAACAACTAGTTAGTTCCTACTGACGCCAACCCTTTGTACAACAAAATGAAACACAACTTTGTCCTGCATTACCTTTACAAATGCTGCCACTGTGCCAACCCATCTCTGAGGGAATTGCTCTTTTTTTGCTGACCCTCCACTTTTCCAAGCACTATGTCCTTCTCCAAGGACTGGAACCACATGATAACATATCCAAAATATGAGAGATGAAGTCTTCACTTCTAAGAAGCTTTCTGGCTGTACTTCCTCCAACACAAATTTGTTTTTTCTCTTGGCAGTCCATGATGCTTTTATTATTCTTAGTCAACACCTTAATTAAAATTCATCAATTCTTCTAAGGTCTTTCTAATTCATTGTCCAACTTGCACATGCATATGAGTCTATTAAAATACTATGGCTGTGGTCAAGTCCACCTTAGTCCTCACAGTGGTATCTTTCCTTGCTCTTGAACACTATAAAGAGGTCTTTTCAACATATTTCTCTAATGCAATATGTTATTTAATTTGTTGATTGCTGTTTCTACCCATGTTGACTGTAGATTCAAGCAAAATGAAGTCTTTAACAAAGTCAACATTTTCTGCATTTAAGATGATGTTATTTCTTGACACACTCTGAGTATTTTTATTCACTTTACATTGAGATCCAATCATGCTTGGTAAAGTGGAGAATCAATGAAAAAGAGGAAGATCCCCAGCGAGATGAATTGGCACAGTGGCAACAGCAATGGATTCATGCATAGCAATGATTGTGAGGATGGTAATGCCCTGGCAGTGTTTCCTTCTGTTGTGCAGAGTCACTATGAGTAGGGACTGACTGGACTAACAACAAGAACATAGTCTTAACAAACAATAACTGATAGTTGTCATCTGGTCGAGTCATAGGCATCATAAGTGTGCAGAATTGTTATTGTTGTTAAGTGCCGTCGAGTCGGTTCCAATACATAGCAACTCTGTGTAGGGTTTCCAAGGAGCAGCTGGTGAGCTTGAACCGCCAACCTTGCTGTTCAGACTTAGTAGCCCAGCACATTAACCCACAGTGCCATAGCAGAATAAAACTATGTATTTCTAGGTTGATTTCAACTGCCAACTTTTTACTCAGTTGTTGCTAAGGGTCATTGAATTGATTCTGCTTCATAACAACCCTGTATTTCCAAGGAGCTGTTGCTTGGTGTGAACCCCTGACCTTGTGGTTAGCAGTCCAGTGCTTATCCTATAGTGTCACACCCAGGATACTTTTGGTCCATAATGGAATATTTAACTGTTTGCAGGATTCCTGTATATTGTCCTATATAAGTGCTAATTAATTATTATTGTTGTTGTTAAACCATGGAGTAGGTTCCGACTCATAGTGACCCTGCACAGGGTTTCCGAGGCTGTAAATCTTTACGGGAGCAGAACACCTAATCTTTGTCTCACAGAACCGCTGGTAGTTTCGAACTGCTGACCTTGAGGTTGGCAGCTCGACTCATAACCACTACGCTACCAGAACTCCTTTAATTAATTGTAGACCAAACATTAGTCTCTCTTATTCAGTTGTAACCTTGGATTTCTGGATAATTTCTGATTATTTATGTTTCTAGGATAGGCATAGAGTCCTGGTGTTGCACTGTGGGTTAATGCGCTGGATTTCAAGGACTGTTTGAACCGCAATGTCGGCAGTTCAAGCCTACCAACCAATCCTCGGAATCCCTATACTGGGTCGCTATGAGTCGGAACCAACTCGACGGCACTTAACAACAAAAATAATAAGCATAGCAAAAAGATGCTTGTCAATATAAAACTGCAAGTAATAGCCAATCAACCAATGATAGTTTGTGGGCGAAAGTTTAATAAGTGATGATACATTGTAGTTACATGATTTTACCGAGACCTCAAATCTACTAAGCCCCTTTCATGATTCTCCTCCCTAATAGGTTTCTCTGTCTTCAGTTTTCATTTCCAGCTATAAATTCTTCCCTATACACTTACATTCTACCATGACCTTTATTTAATTACCCATTTTGATGTCTTTCCCATTTCTCCTGTTTCACTTCTTTTCTAACTTTTCTCCCTTATGAAATCATACCACAAACATGTCATTTTCTATAGTTGATGTTTCCTTACCGGGATGAAGATGTAGGCTCAGTAATCTGTCTTTGCACACGGGCGTGTTTAATTAAATGTTCTTTTAAAGCAGTTTGAACTTCGGCTGGGATATCTGGGGAAGTGTGGCTGATTTTTATTGCAGGTTCAACCGTTGTTAGTGCTGGCCTTCCATTTTCTTTAACCTCTTTTTTCTCTTCAGTCTCAAATACTTCAGTAGGAGCACTTGAGATGCTCTGTGGAAGAGCACTGACATTGGAAGTCACAGGTTTACTTTTCCAGCATGGCCAGCACAACTTCCAGAAGACAAAGAGTGAGACAACCAACAGAGCCAGGCCACAAAAGCTGACAATGACAGCTAACAGGCTGACAGAAATATCTGGAAAAAAATGACAATGTAAAGAAAAATTAATTCATTGATACTGCACATGAGTGGGCAGCAATAGTGAGACAATAATTTTACATTTTGATTCTTATCAATATTTAGTTATTGTTCAAAACAACAATAACAACAACATCATTTAAATGATGTTTTCAGACAAGAAATACTAAAAACTATTTCTGGAATTTCTCAAAGGAGATCATTTTAAAATTCCAGTCCAGGAATGTACATAGGAGAAGCATGAGATATACATATAATTTCCAAGAATGGTACAAAGGGTCCAAGATTTTGCAAAATGAAGTTTGAATGAAATCTATCCTGAAGTTTAAGAAATTCTGAAACTGTGCACAATAAGAAATGCTTCTGTTTGCTCCTTCTTTGATCTAAAGGTGCAAAATTTCTCATGACTTAAGCAAGGAATAATGTTCAATATAAACTGCTGTCTATATCCTGAATGATAGGGTTCCATCAATTCTGAACCAAAAAGCCACTGACAAAGAGTCAGTCTCTGAAATGTAATTGTTAGATTACTTTCATCCATGTATTTCTATTATGTTTTCCCTTTTGCATCTCTAAAAAAGAAACATAAGATTTCAAAAATCTACTTATAAGTTAAAAGAGTTCCTTTGATAAGTATAAAACAAAATTTCCAAGTGATAAGAAAACATCATGTCATAATTTAATTGGCAGCATTCTATTTATCTTTCTTGGTATTGATTAATATAATGGTGCGTCTTAAAATCAATGACATTTTAGATTCAATGAATTATGATGCCATTTTCAAATACCCAAATTTATAAAAGAAATCTTTACGTCTGCTTACAATTAGAATAAATGATTTATAATCTACGAGTGCATGTTAATTCAACATATGTATCGCTTGAACAATTCAGTATTATATTATATACATCTAATTAAAGGTAACTGCTATTGTTCATGTTGTCAGGTGTTGTAGAGACCCTGTATATGGTTTTGAAAATCTTTATGGGAGCAGACAGCCTCATCCTTCTCCTGCAGAGCAGTTGGTGGGTTTGAACTGCCAATCTTGTAGTTACCAGTCCAGTGCTTATTCGTAATTAATGATAATTTGTTGTTGTTGTTAGGTGCCATAGAGTCAGGTCCAAATCATAGCAACTCTGTATAAGGTTTCTAAAGAGTGGCTGGTAGGTGTGAAGCACCAACCTTGTTGTTAGCAGTCCAGTGCTTACCCTACAGCACCACACCAGGACCACCACATCCAATTAATGATAATGTTGTTGTTATTAAGTGCCATGGAGTTGGCTCAGACTCGTAATGACCCTGTATAGGGTTTCCAAGAAGTGGCTGGTGCTTAGTGATGATAGTACATTTTAATGTTTCTACAGTGACTTTTACATAGCAAGCACTTAATAAATTGTTATTATTGTTAAGTTCTGTGGAGTCAATTCCTACCCATAGCAACCCTGTATAGGGTTTCCAAGGTGCAGTTGGTGAACTTGAACCACCGACCTTGCAGTTCAAACGGCTTGTCAGTCTGAAGCATTAGCCCACAGAGCCACACCAGGACTCCACTCAATAAATGGCCCAATAAAAGCAAAGTGCTAAAAGTTCCTGAGACATACTGTAACTGATTATTAATTATAATAATTTCTGAAAATTGGTTTGCCCATTTTTAAAAATCTATGACTACTGAAACAGAACCAAGTAGTATGCTTTAGTTTTATTATCATAAATGGATAAAATACAGGTATTTCCACTTTTCTAAAGCATCAATAAACTTAGTGTATTTACTATGTAATGTTTCTAAATTTAGCTGTGCACTCAGCTTTGTTTGAACACACTATGAGGAAAGTCAATGGAGAGACACCCGGTATTCAGTTGCTGCTTCATGAGTATGTTGCTCATTAAATTCTAACATTCATTGTGGCACTGCAGGCTAATGCACTGGACTGCAAGGTCGGTTTGAACTGCAAGGTCAGCAGCTGCTCCTTGGAAACCCTATACAGGGTCACTATGAGTTGGAACTGACTCAATGGCACTTAACAATAACAAAAACATTACAAATGAAATACTTTGCATGCCTGCCTACATGAGATATAGTGTTAAGCACTAGAGGCATAAAGATCTGATATGTACAGTTTACCTTCAGAAGGAATTTGGGGATTATTAAGCAGGATCCATTACTTTACAAATAAGGATATTAAGGATAAATTGATTAAGTCATTCTACAGACTTTCTAGGTACTGAGGAAAAAAACAGTAAACAATCCCCTAATCTCGAAGATCTTACATTCTGTTGATTTGCTGTGCAGAGTAAGTAGAATAAGATATACATCAGGAGAACAGAATTCTAGTTACATATATAATTCATTTTAATTGGCATTAGAAATTCCATTAATTTATGATAATGATATTCCTTTGCCAGAATTATATATAAAATCCCATAAACTTGCAAATAAATACAACTGCATCCTCAATCATGACAAATTTATTCCCACAAGACCAGAATTACAAAGATGATCAAGTTTTAATAAGAATGTATTTTGAATTAAATGTACAGCTGTGCATTTTTAATATATATAAGTACTCCCATAAGAACCAGTTTTCAGAGATTTAAAGAGGAAACTTGTCACATGATCTTAGTTTGTCACAAGAAAACAAAAAAGGCTAAGGTGAAAGAAATGCCCCCCTAATATTGTGAAAATATGGATGCTCGTGATTTCTTTTGATAATTCTTTTTTTTTTTTTTTTTGAGTAAATGCAAGCAAGTACAAATGTGAACTGATTTTCATGTGTAAATGAAACAAGGAAGAGTAAAATCTTGCCATTCTTCAGTGATGTGACAAGTAGAGGAAGGAAAAGGTATGTCCTCATTCATTCTTCCTCAGGTGGACTCTATGCATATCATTCTAAATCTATTGTGTTTCTATTATTCTTTTTCAGATCTAAAATTCTCAAGAAAAATTCCACTAATATACATTTCTAAATTGTAATTCTTTGTATTATTATTAAGTTATGTGAAACTCAATAGTTATAGCAATACAGAAATTATAGCTTAACTAAATTAATTGGGTAGTCATTTGTTTTATGTGTGTACACAAACTCTATGAGGCATCCCTACTCAATTTAAGTCCTTATTATAGATACAAAATGCCTAATTCTCAGAGGAAAATTGTTAATTAAGTTTTAAAATTTCACTTAATTATCCCTTTTAATTAGTCAAGTAACTTCAATGGCATTCTTCACCATGTATCTACTCCTACTCCCCACATTTAATAAATTGAACGCATGTGAATTTAGAAGTATTTCCTAAATATTTAGTTTAGAAATTTTAGTCCTCAGTTAAAGTTATGTAGAAACATAAAACCAAAAGTGATGACTTCAATGTTTATTGTTGGTTGTCGCTAAGTGCCATTAATGTTTATTAAGAATGTTAAAATTGAAGTTATTATTTTTATTGCTGCTGCTACTAAGTGCTGTTGAGTTGGTTCTGATGCATTGTAACCTCCAGTAGGGTTTCTGTGGAGTGGTTGGTGAGCTTGATCCACTTACCTTGTGGTTAGCAGCGCAATGCTTATCCTACAGTGCCACAAAGGGTTAGGTCTATACACCTGTGGCATGAACTTAGTGACTATGAGTTTCAGTGGGTTTCAGTGAATTCCGCCTTTCGGGCAGCATAGACTCTTTGAACCTCATAAGCATTTGAACATGGGTCAATAACTAAAAGACTGACCAAAAATTAGCTAAAATCCAATTTTAAAACTATTATAGTGTATTCAAATCACAATCTATCTATCTGAAAAATAACACATGAGACCATTACATGCATTTCATTTCCCTTAAACATTCTATTAAACCATATTATGCAGCAAAATACCCTACACAGGGTTGCTATGAGTTGGAACTGACTCCAATGACTCCAAGGCACTTAATAACAACACGTTTGCTTGGGAAAGAGGAGCAAAATGGTAAAAAAAAAAAAAAAAAAGACTCCCAAAATTTGATTTTCTAAAAATTATGCATAATCACCTTCACAGTATGGTAGTAATGCTTACATGTATACTGATTCAAATAAACTATCCTTACGAGTAAACTGGAGTCCTGGTGTGGTGCTGTGGGTTAATGAGCCAGACTGTAAAGCTGTTTGAACAGCAAGGTTGGTGGTTCAAGCTCACCAGCTGCGCCTCGAAAACCCTATACAGGGTCGCTATGGGTTGGAACTGACTCAAAAACACTTAACAACATCAACAAGAGTAAACGAAATAGTGTTGTCAACAGCAGTCTAAGTCTACACATATTTTACTAAAGCATGGAATTGGCCAGTGTGGTAGGCAAATTCTCAATGGCAATAACACTCATGCTGTTTCTGCTACTAATGTTATTTATGGTAAAGAGATAATACAGCTTGGAATCTACTGACATCAAAAAACAAAACAAAACAAAAAAAACCACATGCTGTAGGACAATATCTTATTTGAATATCTAAGTCATAATTCCTTTATAATAGAGTGACTTTAATTAAGATTGCATGAATTTCTTTCCCTCTTTACCTATGTGAAGGAATCTAAAAATATATACTATTTGGAAGTCTGCCATTGTCACTGCAACCTTAATACCATCTGCTGTTGTTGTTGTTGTTAAGTACTGTGGAGTCAGTTCCAACTCATAGTGACCCTGCACAAGGTTTCTGAGGTTGCAAATCTTTACAGGAGCAAAAAGCCTCATCTTTCTCCGGCGGAACAGCTGGTAGTTTCGAATTGTGCTAATTAACATTAAAAGTAAATAATCACTGTACCATTTAGTGATATCCTGCTATCAATAGCATGCATCTCATTAAATCAACTGAGTAGAAGAATCACCTATTGGAACTTCTTATTTAGGGACCTAAAATGCAGAATATGCTGTGTAAGAAATTGTACTTTATGAATCAATGGGAAGTTAGGAGGCTAATAAGTATAATAAAACATTGTGTGAATAATCTTAAAATCAACTTTGTTGTTGTTGTTGAATGCCATCTAAGTCAGTTCCAACCCATAGCGACTCTGTATAGAGTTTCTGAGGAGCCGCTGGTGAGTTTGAACCACCAATGTTGCAGTTCAAACCCACTTTGCAGTCCAACTCATTAACCCATAGTGCCCCCATCAACTTTATAAGTGTATTAATATGAGCAGTTGGTTCTCAGTTAGTTTACTTCTAACTATTGTTCAGAGGAAAAATGTTAATCAAGTTCATATTTATATTATACCACCTCGTAGACTACGATCTCCAGAGGTAATCATAATATATATTTTTATACAGCTCTGGTAGCATAGTGGTTACAAATGAGGCTGCTAACCTCAAGGTCGGCAGTTCGAAACTACCAGCTGTTCCACGGGAGAAAGATGAGGCCTTCTGCTCCCGTAAAGATTTATAGCCTCAGAAACACCGGGCAGGGTCACTATGAGTCGAACCGACTCCATGGTACTTAAGAACAACATGTTGAATATTTAGTTTGAATAGTTTATATTGTCCCTAAGTGAAGAAAAATGTCCCCTCACTTTTAGTTCTGGAAGGAAAGTCCAAAATAATTAGGGATACAACTACTTCTTTCCATGCTTAAGAAAAACTCAGAACTTTTATAGTTCATATATTGTGTTTTATCTTGTTCTTAAGTGCCCTCAAGTCAATTTCAACACATAGTGACACTGTATAGGGTCTTGGAGGAAAAGCTGGTGGGTTTCAACCATTAATCTTACAGTTAGCAGTTCAGTACTTATCTTGCAGCACCACACCAAGACCCTTGTTTCACTTCAGCTGATATATTTACATATTTCAGAAAGATTCAAAAGCTAGTATTTGGTGCTCAATCTTTACTCATTTTCTGCATTACCAGCCAATCCAAGATCCAGGAAACTATTATTTGTTGCATGATCACAAAAAAGGTACAAATCCGTTTTATCCACAACATCAACTGTTAAATGATGAAGAATAGGTCTCTATTTTTAAAATACTCTCATTTCTTCCACTGTACCCCTTCTCTGAGTCTTATTTTTTGTGTTTGAGCCACTACAGACATTTCAGATGAGCTTATTAAATATCACCACTATTTTGAGTGTTTATCTCATGTTTAGGATCCTTTATACAGGATGTTCACGCACTCCCCGCCAGTAACAGTTGAATTTCATACACTCCTAAAAATATATCACCTACTTGGTTTGAACCACAAGGTCGGTGGTTAGAGCTCACCAGCTACTCCTCAGAAACTCTGTACAGGGACTCCTCAGAAACTCTGTACAGGGTGGCTAAGGGTCGAAAGGGTCTCAACAGTACTTAACAACAACAAGAAGTAAGTAAATGCAAGAGTCTCAGCTGTATTTCATCTATTCACAAAATCTGTATTTCAAACAGGTTGATAGCAGCTATGGTGTTTCCTTCTGATCCAGCGTCCAGGCAGCAACATATCCTCAGGTGCTGCCAAGTGCAAACAGAAAACCCTTTTGGCTTCTGTTGCCAAGATTAAACAATTTGAAAGCCCTGCATAGATGCAATTTAATTAATGCTACGTGAAAGCGAAGCTAAATCCATTTTTACCCCTTCCTTCCCTCCTCTCTCCTCCCCTTTGTCTTCCACACGTGCCCTTCTTTTCCTCTGTAACAGCAAGCCTTGTGCCTTGCTGTTGATAGTCCTTCTCCTCCCAGAGCATGGCATTCAGTTCTTGTTGCCCTGGCTACCCTCAGGAGACACTGCCAGGAGGCAAAAATGATAAAGAATGACAAGGGAAAGAAATTAAGTTGGTATCTTTTAAGGCTTCTGTTCCAACGTGATGCCGAAAATTCCGAAATTAGCGTTAGTTTACCTCCCTAAGCAACAAGTGACCCTTAAGGTAGCTCAGGAAACTGGAGCCCATCTCGCCTGTGTGAGAATCACAGCAAGACAAGCTAAGCATTGCGCAGCTGGTTAAAATCCTTTCCCCCAACCATCACTGGAACAATGGCTCTGATAAAGTTTAGTTCTAATACAGTTTCATTCCCCTCCCCCTCCCCCACTCCCTCTTTGTTGTTGTTGTCAGGATCCATCCAGTGGATTCCAACTCATAGTGACCCTGTATAGGCTTTACAAGGAGTGTCTGGTGAGCTGGTGAGTTTGAACCTCATGCCTTGCAGTTCAAACCTACTTGCGGCCCAGTGCTTATCCTACAGCGCCACTCCAGGATTCCACTCCCTCTTTAGCGTGGAGAAAAATCTTTCATCTGAGACTTCTTTCCATCCCCAGATGTTTAGTTGTCGATATCTGCCTCTATTCCACTCCATTTCCTCCCAAGTTTCTTGAAAGAGTAGGGAGGATGCTTGTGTATTAGTATGTATGTCAGAGTGAGTGTGGAAAGGATTTATGCTTTTCCCCCTTTTCCAGTTAATCAATATATTCCCTGAGCTTAGTCGTCGCCTCGAAGATAGGATCAATAATTCCTGCAGTCATGAAATCCTAGATAGGGTTTTGGAAACCGCCCAGCGCTCTACAGGTTGCAGACCTGGATTACAGCTAGTAGGATCTATCTGTTGCTCTCTCAGAAGACATGTAACCTGTCTGCAAGGAGGTTCTGTGAGTGCAAGCACGAATCCTCGGACCAGGTCCCTTCGCCTAGACTGCTGGACCCTCCGGACAAGCAACGGCACACTATTTCCCGCCAATGAGCCGCCCCCGCGGGCAGCCGTGCCAGAGCTAGTGCTAGCCTCTCCCATTCGGAAGACCCCGCGTGGGTGAGCTCAGAAATAGCTGACTCCGGAACCCGGGAGCAAGAATCGGCGCCCGCAGGCCAAGTAGCAGGCAGAGAGGTGAAGAAAGTCGGGCAGGTAGAGAAAAAGAGAAGAGACCCCCAATTACCCCATAATTGAAGTCACAGGAGCTGAGCGAGGAAAGAGCAAGGTAAGAAGACGCAAAGCCGGAAAGGTGCTTCTAGAGTAATGTGGGAGTTGCAGGATCCCTAAGCTTGAAGCTGAGCGCAAAGGGTCCGGGCGAAGATCAAGGACGCGAGCGGAACGGTTACCTGTGCTGCCTCCGCCCTGGCTGCCCCTGTCTGGGGGAAAGATGCCCGAACACTTCTCCCATTCCACCTGGCCAGCGAAACACAGCTCGGTGACGATGTGCAGCGCCTTCTGGCATAGGCTGCTTACTCCATCCTCCTTGTGGAAACTCATCCTGTAGGTTTTCTCTTGGTTTTCTCTTTTCAGTTGGTCGTCCTTTCCTCTTCCTCTTACTTCTTGGATGACCCGTCTTGTTCCCTAAGCCATAGCCTGCCAGTAAAGACTTACAGAAGAGTGCGCTGCTAAGAACAGGCAACTCTTAGGAGCCCCAAGTTGGCCCCATGACTGGTGAGGACGGCACGAGGAAAAGAGGGGAGACAGCAGTGGGTGCCCGCGCGAGGCGGGGGAGACCGGCGATGGCCGTGAGGTTTGAGCCAACTCTCCCCTTATGAGAGGAGAGCTCAAAGAAGAGACCCGGCATGGAATGAGGAGGGGACGGGGGGGAGAAGTAAAAATCCAAAGCCTTCTAATCTCAAGAATGCCCCCTTCTACTCCCCCCTTCCCAATGTGTTTATGTTTCTGAAAGGTGCCTGGCGGCAGCGCATCCAATCACCGCCTGAAGCGGGCCAGGGACAATGGGTGGCAGAGCGCGCAGGCTCCGGGCTCACCAGTCTGATGGGGAAGGGGCAAGCTCAGGAGGAGGGGCAGCTGCCCAAGGGTGCTCATCTTTGTGAAATAACAATTCTTCGTTTTCTCAGTACTTTCCCCAGCTTCATCTTCCTCACCTAACATTTTCCCTACTGTCTCTTCTTCAACTGATCTACACATGCATTCTACTGTAAGTCCTATCCGGTTCTGATGTTGTGTTAAAGTCATTCCAGGTCATCCACATCTGAAGAAAAATCGAAAAGTTAAATGAATAATCAAAGTAAATCATCTATAGAAAAAGAAAGATGCCCCTGAAGAACATTTTAAATAAATCTGACAATGATGGTACAGGGACAGAAGTTAAATTCCTTCGAAGGTCTTTATTACTAGTAATGAAATTCACTGTAAGGTGCATTTCCTGTGAATTTAGTTCTTTATGCACAAATCCTGTAAATGTACAAATAAATGTATTGCCTTTGGATTTTAAAAATCCTCTTAGGTAGATTGCAAAAATATATTTGTATTAATAACCAGTTAGGATTCTTTTGATGAATCAGTCATGGTCAACTGATAACATAGAACTTGACTCTCTTTATCATTTTATTTTGTTTGAAGTATAAATACTGGAAAAAGACAAAGTACTGGGTAAAAGGGAGGGAGATTAGCTCAAATCTTTCTCACAGCTATACTTAACTCTGAAATTTTTACTTTCAGGTATTTATCTGTCTTTAAAATGAGGGACTTGAACTGGTATATTTTGAGATCACCATGTTCTTATCATTCTGTAATGCAAACAGGTGCAAATCAATGGTGCTAAAGTTGCCAAATGAATATAATAAACATGTACCACAAAGATAATGTAAATAGATAATTTAGTGCCAGGCAGAATTTAATCTCATAGTACAATTTAAGGGATGATTTACCAGTTACTAGGTGGATGTTCTTTATTTTTGAACTGGATTACACCTCAACACCAAGAAAACAAAAATACTCATAATTGGGCCAATAAGCAGCATCTTGATATACACAGAAAAGACTGAAGTTGTCAAGGATTGTGTTTTACTTGGATACACAATCAATGCCATTAAATTTGCAGTCAGGATATCAAACGACAATGTATTGCATTGGGTAAATCTGTAGCCAGTGTTAAAATGCAAAAATGTAACATTGAGAACTAAGATGCACTTGAACAAAGTCATGTTATTTTCAGTCACCTCACATGCATAGGAGTCCCGGTGTGATACTATGGGTTAATGTGCTGCACTGCAAAGTCAGTTTGAACCTCAAGGTCAGTGGTTCAAGCTCACCAGCCGCTCCTAGGAATCCCGACACAGGGTCACTATGGGTCAGAACCCACTCACAGGCACTTAATAACAGCAACAACAACATATGCATAGGGTAGCTGGAAAATGAATAAGGACTACTGAAGCAAAACTAATGCTTTTTGTTTTACAGAAGTTCAGCCCTAGGCAGGTTCTCTTTGGATTCTGAGGCTAGAAAAAATTACAACAGGATTTCATGAAAGGGATTCTTACCACTTTATTGTTGGTTAAGGCAGCTGGCCTGATGAGTGTCTCCTGAGGAGAATCCACCTCAAGGAGAATCTGCATTACCCCCCAATGCTGCCCTGGCTGATAAAGGTACCAGAACTGAGAAGGCAGGCTGCTGACTGTTACATAACTAACTTGCATAAATGAGTAGTCCCTAAAGTAGATGGGGTAAATCTGTGAACAAGGTCACTCACAAAGCCATTTGCAGAGTAAACAGAGCCACCTACAAGGCCCTTGCCAAACTATGAGATCATTAAGAGGCTATTAGGAAGATAATTCAAGACTATGAAGAGGCATTTGTCCTGTACCTCAGGTACGTCTCCAAAAGCATACATGCGTACTTCCATGACACTTTTGAATTATGGTGTTAACAAAAAATACTGGCTATAGCAAGGACTGCCAGAAAATGAACAACTCTCTTGGAAGAAGTACAATCAGAATGCTCCTTAGAAGTGAGGACTGTGAAACTTAGTCTCACATAATTTGGACATGTTACCAGAGGGTACTAGTCCCTAGAGAAAAAACAGAGGGCAATGCAAAGGGTCAATGAAAAAGAGGAAGACACTCAGTAAGATGGAGTGACACAATGATACAACAATGGGTTCAAACATAGCTATGGTTGTGAGCACAGTGCAAGGCCAGGGAGTGTTTCATTCTGCTGTACATAGCAATATTATGAGTCAGAACCGACGTTACAGCACCTAACAACTACAGAGTAAGTAGATTTATTTTAAACTGAGGTTTAGTTCATGTGCGTTATTTCCTTTGCACCGGACACTGTGGCAAAGCCTATTATGTATATGAGGTAAGCACTCTGGTCGGTAGGCATTCATTAGTTGAATCATTTTGGCTTGATTCATAGGACAATTGGTTAAGTAGGACTATTTTTTACCATGAATTTAGACAAACTAAAATATGCAGCTTCATTTACTTTTCATATTTATGCATAGTGAGTTGACAGTTTTTCGATCATATCATCTTAAGAAATATTTCCATTGTCAATTTAAAAAAAATAAGATTCTACTTACTGTATATTTACAGCTAAGTAACACACTTTAATAAGACCCTCTTCACTTTCTCCAGTCTACCACAGTCTACTGGACAGATGGAGCCATGTAAATAATCTGCAATACAATGCTGTGCTTTCATATTTACTATACAAAAACCTTCTGTGTGGGAGAGCCAAATGAGTAATTAATCTTTAAACTACTTGTAGACTTCAATTGAGTAATGCAGAAGGTCTTTCTAATTACTCTCTTATGTGTGATTTCAGTGTTAAATATTATTAAGTAAATAAATTCTGAAAATAACTTTCCTTGTACATGTTTATATTGTTTTTGCTTGTCGGTACTCTTACTGCTATGATTTCACAACAAGTAGTTTCACTTGGGTACTTATTTTTCTGTATTTATTCTAATTTTTTTCACAACTCATTAGGAAGTGACTCAAATCAATTCTTCTTGTCACTTATTAACTACCTTGTAAGAGTTTTTTGCATAGTAGTTGGAGTACTACTATGACATTGGATAAGCACCGGAATGCTAACCACACGGGTGGAGGGTGAAATCCACCAGTTCCTCCTCAGAAACCCTATGCAGGGTCACTATGAATTGGAACTGAATCCATGGCACTTTAACAACAAGAGTTTTTGGGAAAATTAGAATCACATTCAAGGTCATTTCCCCCCCAAATGATGGATTAAAATAAAGAAAATAATTTCAATTCACAGTAATTTTTTTTTTTTTTTTGCCAACTCCTTCAACCACCAAAAATATAGACTTACTTTTATTTCCACATCTACACTATGAAGAAATTGCTAAATAAATAAATGGAGGGGAGAGATGGTTAGAAGTACATATTTGGAATATTATCTGATGTACCAAGTTCTATGTTGTTGTGATTGTTAAGCGCCCTCAGTCAGTTCCAACCCATAGCTACCCTGCATAGGGTTTCCAAAGAGCAGCTGGTATAGGTTTGAACTGCAGACCTCTCAGTTCAAACTGGGCTTGAAGTCCAGCACATAATCCTGTATCACCACACCAGGACTCCACCAAGTGGAGTCCAGGTATTATAGAAAAACTATACAGACTGTGGAGTCCTGGTGTGGCGCTGTGTGTTAATACGCTGGACTAGAAAGTCAGTTTGAACCACAAGGTTGGCTGATCAAGCTCACCAGCTGCTCCTCGGAAACCCTATACAGGCTCGCTGTGGGACGGAACCGACTCGACAGTAATTTTCTGTGGCAACTTGCATCTGAATAACCTCTGCATTAAATACAGGAGGAATTGATTTAGGGATAAGGAATTTCAGAGAGTAAGTGAGCTTCTTCAGTGGTGATTTTGAACGTTCAACACTGTGCTTGTTCAACTTTCATCCAATTATTTCTTCTTGGTTTCCCATGACTCTTACAGAACCTTCTATTGGAGGTGTTACCTTCTTAGATTGAGATCTCCCTATGGAAATGGGATCTTGGGAATTATTCCAAAGTAAAAAATGTAAATATTAATTGAAATCTGAGAGAGGCACTAAGCAGGATGGGTAAATGAGGACATTTTCGAACAGATGAGTTCAATCTGAATAAAGATCACAGACAATATTACATTTTAGCTTACTTAACTGATTTCTTTTTCTGTATTGTACAAGCACCTTAAAGTCCAAACAGCCTGTTTCAAACGATTTGTCAAACTTGGGCTTCCTTTAGCATTTCTTAATTTGAAGAATGGCATTTCTACTCATCTCAACAGGCAATGATTATTAGATTTCTGGTTTGCCAAGATGGGTATGGCTTTTGAGAAACCCAGCTTCATTCTGATTACAACTCCTTTCAATACAATCAATGATTCATCACTCCAAAAGATTTATGTCCTGTCTTTTCTCTTTGTGTTTATTTGGTTTATTCATCCTAATGAGCATTCAGTGATTCTTTCAAACTGAGATTCAGTTTTGAGTTTTTTGATTTTAAGAAATTGTCTAATT